TGAAGTCGGCAAAATTAAGAAATCCATTCCTTTTCAACTTCAAATGAAAATGTGATAATAATCGGTGAGCTTTAGAGATAAAGTCTATACAGCCGCCAGTTTTTATGTACGCACCTAACGTATGTCAATGATATTTGAATTTTTTTTTTGGCTGAGGAATATGATTTTAAAAAATAAATGATAGCAATGCAATAGACTTACCTCCACGTGGTGCACCCTGGGCAACATATATTCATACGGCAAAAAAGTCCATTGACTGGCAGTTGATTTCTCACTTCAAACTACCATCACCTCACTCTATGCCATAATCGACTATTTTCACAGTACTCACCTCACCATTGTTCTACCTTTGGGTTTGTCTCTTACATCCTTGAAAAACTCTTCTGTCCCCCCCCCTATCGACTTTTTAAATTTGATGTTTCTTCCCCTCTGTGAAACCTGAAGTCAACTAAAGGACTAATGATAACCATCAAGACGCCTGCCATTTGATATAAATAAATAAATGAATGATAGCGAGCCTTGGTCAAAAAACCTAAGCAGTGAATGGACACAAATCGCCAATTTAAGTCAAATGAAATTTCTTCTAAGAACTAAAATTGTTCTCCGTTTTTTCCTTTTCTTCTTTCCATTATCGAAGTTCAAGCGCCAGCTTCCATTTATTAAGAGCAAAATAAAACAATAAAACAATTAAATCCTTGAGTGCCTTGAGATTTGGCATAACGAGCGCACTAATTTCAATTTATAGGGTCAAGGCGAGGATGAACATGAAAATAATTTACTCAGAACAAAGAAATTCATTCATTAGAATTACTCATTGGATTATTTCATTAGGGGGGGGGGAGTGACTAGATAAATTATCTGCAATAGAAACAAAGCGACTACATACTAAAGAAAGCAGGGGAAAGAGATTTTAGTAAACGATTGTTTGACAATTGGAATATATCTCCATAATCAATAAAACTTTTCAGTTGGGATAGAGGAATTACTTTCCGATTCACGAAAATGATCAGTAATAGGTTTAATCAGCACAATAATTTTGCAGTATGTGCGGGCATAGGAATATCAAAGCATTTCAGGTGAGAGGATAGCACAGTCAGAATAACACCGAAGACAAAAGAATTATGGAAATATTTTTTTGGGATAAAAATGCGCCTGCTTTTACTTAATCAGCTAATAGCTTGCGCGAATGCTGTCACTTTGGATGGTATAGTAATGGCATAATGTGATATCTGCCATTTTACCGACTCCTCTCAATCATTTCATAAAAATATTTGGCCTATTAAATTATTTTGAGAAAATAAGAAATTAATAAGAAAAAGGAAAGTTAAGTGCTCTAATGTGCCATAGAGACTCCGTTTTTATTATTCATGCATTGATAATCAAAAGATTCATGCATTTTAAACAATTGGTTAACTTAAACAAGATTGGTTGTCAACATAAACTTAATTTCGTCCCCCGTTGGAAAGAACTTCCCTCACATGTGTGAGACATAATTTTTTAATAAGGGATAGACCATAGCTTATCACTTCCTCATTCTCAATTATGAAGTATTAATTGTTTATTGGGCCATTTTTCGATGTCTTTTTTTCTCAATTAATATCCTCAAAAGCTCCGAAATAGAATTCATCGTTATTTACTGGAACCCTTTTTTTATGGATGCAGACTTTAAACGTAGATATGTATGCTACTATTATTGACCAAGTTTAAGTGGATTTAAGCTATTGTAGCTGTACCTAAGCCAATAAGCATCATGGAAATATTGCCTTTTGAGCAAGGTCAAGTGCAGAATCAGCTTTATTCATGACAGCATTAGGTTACTAATAAAAGTCGTGCATTGCCGGAAAAAACTAAATAAACAAATTTACTCACTGGGTAGTGGTGTCAAAGCAATGACAGTTCCCGGTCGAATTAGTTGAAGAGGAAGATTCATTGCGGTATATTCAACCATTCTTTTATGACCTTCTCCATAAAATATTATAAAAGAGAATAAGATTGTGATGAAGGCGAATAGCTTTAAAAGATTACTATGCATTAACTTTTAGCAATACTTCTTCCTACAACTTAAGCGTAGTTAAGTCAAGATCTCGTTCCATTCGTAATAATTTAGTATCTCTTTCGAAATTTCAGCAATAATTTCGAATATTGATTTCTCCAGAAGTTTCATAAAGAAATCGATACCAAGCAAAGAAATTTTATGGTCGCCAGAACATCCCGGAACTTGCAAGTGTACGTTCAAAAACCTCTCAGCCAGTCGGCTATTGTAGTAATGACCAAGTAGGTTGGTAGTTTATCACATACTTTTAATAAACTTTATAGGCTAATTGTGCTGGTCAATATCTATTTGAACTACCCAGATGATGATAAAGTTTAGTCTCAAGTTATTTGTGAAAAAACGCATACAATGCAAACAGGTTTCAATCTGGTGAAATCAAATTTTATGTCTCGAATTCAATTTTTTATTTAAATTCACTTAAGGAATTGTAGTGGATTGCTATTTTATTAAAGCATGACTGACTCGGAAATCTCTATGGCAGATTCTCCAACATCTCAACTAGACTCCCAGAAACAGCTAAGCTATAGCCCAGCTATAAAGGAAGATCCAAACAGAAAAAATCAGCTTGCCCTTTAAACACATCCACCAGTTATTAATCTGAAAATGAATTTTAGCTAACTGGTACAAGGTGAATTTTTAATAAGCTGCCCGTGTGCTAAAAATAAAGAAATGAATTTTTAGGCTTCCAAACTAAACGCTTGTCTAAGAAATTACACTAAGCAATATATTCCTGCATTTGCAAAAAAAATAAAATTTTTGAAATGTATACCTTTACCTTTAAAATTATAAAGATATGCATCCGAAATGCCCACAACAACGTCCTTCTGAGAACTGGGCTCCTCTAGAATACTTGACGAGTAATTCCATCTGTGGCATCCATGTAACTGGCCATTTAAAAGTTTTAATGGCGGGACCTTAATTCAATAGAACATAACTTATGTTGATCTCTCCCATACCTCATTGTAAACAAATAGAATTGTTCCATTCGGAAACAGGCACGTGGCGATTGAAAACTCCCCAACTGAATAATCCATCGGTAGATAAAAGCAAAAGTGGACTCACTTTTAGAACAGTGCTTTAGAATGACGTTGTTCCATTGAGAAATAAATACATTTGGGTTAGTCACATATTTAATCATTGAAATTCCTGGCTGTTTCGAGACGTCAAAATCAGCCATTAAAGGCGCAATATATTGAGAGTAAGTTAAATGATTATGATGAATATTGCCCATATATAGAAAACCTTAAAAATCTTTAATCATTAGATGTTCTACCTCCTGTAGCTAGTGATATTTCATGAGTAGGATATCCATAAAACATAAATGAAAATTCAAGAGTTATTTTCTGAGACGAGCAAATTTAAGAAAAACTTAAAAACGTACGACTGCAACTCGATGACTATTTAACAAAGCAGTATGCGTTTTACCTTCATTTGTAATAAAGCGTTGGATAAAATTGAAAACCGAAGTAGAATTAGAATTGTTTAAGTAGACATGGGTTCGATAGTAGGCATATGTATTCTAAACTTGTTTGAAATTGGCAAAGTCTTACTGTATCCACAAATGGCTCTCTAGAAGAAACGCACTGATTTGCTTTTTGGATCAGAAGAAATGCTGAAATTTCATACAAAAAGTTAAAAAAGAATCAGCATATTTTGAGTTCCAATATTTTTAAATTGAAAATGAAAAAAAGTTGCATTAAATATATATTTAAGTAGATTAAAATAAATTTGTGACTGTGCATTTAAAATGCATGTAGTTTTTATAACTCAACTAAAAACATACTTACTAAATATTGCAATTTGTTTCAACTCGAAAATAGAAAACAACATTCCAATAACCGCATAATAAATGACCTCAAGAGCCAGTCGATCAAACAAATTATTTTGCCCCCAAATACGTAGACATTGTGCTTTCAAAGTTAAAATGCATTTTAAATTGAATTTTCAATAATTATATTTCAAAGACAACCGCGAATGACCTAATTGAGCATTAGGTTTTAAATGATTTGTTACTATTTTTTCTTCCAAATTTCATTTGACCAGGACAACTCAATTGATTTTGTAAACAAAACGAATTTTTAGAGGTCAATCTGATATATATTTTTAAACTTTCTCAGCTCTGTTGGCTTTTTAAAATCAAATGCCGACTGATTACTGTTGAATCTATTTATGTAACCCACAGCGTAAATTTTTTAACTTGAACACTTGTCAATGGACATTTTAAGACATTTTTCATTAATAATTTTGGGTTCAATTTTTGGTTACTAAAGATACCATCTTTACATGTCTTAAACTTCGGCTTTTCATAAAATCTCGGATAATTTTTCATCATGTCTGCTAAACCAAAGTGGGTCTCCAAAATTTTCAAAAATTTATTAATATAGTCTATAACTACAATGATTATTTTGGTTAATAATTGCGTATAGCCAAGAATAAGCAATAAGAAATTATATGTGTTATGTTAAACAAACAACTATATCTTGTCAATTTAATGAACGAGTTATCATTATTGTGCTACTTTCAATTGCGAAATAAAATTCCTAGATTATGTTGAATTCATATAGAAGTAAATGAAGGCATTTAATTTTTAATTAATTACACTTAAAACAACCCAGTATGATCTTCTCTACGCTGTATGATATATTTTTCATTAGATACTTCGTCAGTAATTTTGTTTCTATATATTGCTGGTTTTAAATCTCAAATTATGAAAACTTTAACTTATAATAGAATCTATTCATACGCTGTCAACCTTGTAGCCATCACTTCCCTTAAAAATATTTAGAAACTCTGTTCCTGATATCCTGGAGCCATTGTCTATCTGCTTAGACAAATTGGACAATTTAATAGTATCGCCGTATTTGCTCATTCAAAATTCGTTTCACCATAGTGGTGCAGAGTTTTGAGTTAATATTAGATTGTCAAAGGTTTGTCAAGTTTTGATCAATCTAATTGAGTAGCGTTAAAAGCAGCAGATGTCAATAAACACGTGGCGAACGTAAGTGGTACGATCTCGACAACGCCAACTGTAGGTCATCTAGCTGAGTGCATGTCTGCATATAGATGTCTAAATTGGTGTCAACACTAACTTTTAAGCATATATATAGAGAGAAATGAATGCTAAAGCACTTAAGGTACGTATTAAGATATTAACTCTATTATTTCTAGAGCATTAGGTCGAGTGTACTATGAAAGAACTTTGTGCCCTCGTAAGTCCACCCCTCATGCACTAAATATCGATTATCGGATGCCTATACCAGACCACCAGTGAGAAATCTACTGCTGCCTATATTGGGCAATCAATCAGGCAATTATTTTTTCAATATCGAATGAATTTCAACTTTCTCAATAATAAAACGTTGTTTAAACTTCAATCCCTCTTCCTCGCTCTTCCCACTGTCTGAACAGTAAAAATTACTTATTTTTAAATTATTTTTTTCTATAGTGCGACCCAAGTTCACACCACGAATAACAGCTTTGTGTTAGTCACTTACAACCAAAGCAAAAATGAGTTAGCTCTTATTATGACTGACTATCCTATCCATTTACTGCATCTTATAGCATGCAAATTGGCCCTCTAATGCTTCACTCTTACCTACCTCTAACGTTTTCTATGTTAAACAGAAAATTATTATTCAGGATCAACATTTACTTAGGAACAATATCCGCCTACATAAAGTGACATGGTCTGATCTTTTATAAATAATAACTTAATCCTACTAAATGAGCGGTTAACGGACACCATAGGCAAATCATTTAAAAAGTTTGTTCAAAGGAAAAGGAATTATTTTCGAGAGAAAATTTAAAAAAATTAAAAAGAACCTTGTATGAAATATTATTTTTTGAAAATATTAATTCCTTACTTTCAACAGTATTTGAAGTTAAATGGGAAAAGGTTAAATAAAGATCAAAACTGATGTGACCACCAAAGAGATTCCCATATGCTGATAGATAAATTGTGTTTTAATAAACTGATATTTCTTCTTGAGATGGGGTAGTGCCCCATTGTCGATATCTGCAAGTGATGATTAGCATCTGCTTAGGTATCTTGGTGCATAATGTACAGGACGCGATGTCCTACGGATGCTGATATCGAGATAGTATCGTATCCGATTACCAGGTGTTGCGTGAAACCTGTTGTCTGTAGCATTAACTGGTATTTAAATTTCCGTGGAAATTACACGCTACTTACAGTATACTCCATCCAACATTCTTAATACTTATTTATTTCAAATGGCAGGCGTTTTGATAGTTATCATTAGCCCTTTCGCTGACTTCAGGCTTCACAGAGGGGAAGGAACATCAAAGTGAAAAATAGTCGAGAGGGGGGGAGGACAGAAGAGCGATTCACTGATGTAAAAGAGACAGACACAAAGGTAGAGAAAAAGTAAGGACAGTATTGTGGAAGTGGTGGAATATGACATACAGTGGGGTCATTGTAGTTTGTAGTGAAAAGACAGATGCCGGTTTATAGACCTTTTTGCGGTATGAGTATACATTTCCCAGGATGCATCACGTGGAGGTAAGTCTACCGAACACCTCATGTTCTTAATGTAAGTTTTTTTCGTATTCATTTATATGAAAGTTAAGTAGATGAAGAGGGATCACTAGGAGGAACATAATGACTCAGGAATGTAAAGCTTATTTTTTAGAAGAATAGAATTTTCTTCTTAAACAACAGTTT